TTTATTACCATTATTATTTATTAGTTCTTCTGCCATGTGATGACAAAAAGACGCTGACGAACTTCATGATAACTGAAAAAAATCAACAGTAGGAGAGGCAATGGTATGTTGTTGTTGTTATCGATCCAGCGGCGCATGAGCTTTCGCCCTTTGGCCCAATGCCATGTAGTGGAATTTGCATGTTTTCACAAGCTGTTCTTTTCCTCCGTACAAGGTGTTCCACTTGTCTGGTCTCGGAGGGAGTAGCGTTCTTCTTGTCTCACTGAGTTTTGGGCACTCAAAGAGATGGTGTTCAACAATTTCGTAGGGGTAGTTACATAACTGGCACTCTGGGGAGTGTTGTGGCTGTATTCTGTTTAGGTGTCCATTGAGTGGAGTATGTTGCGTTCTAAGTCTGAAGATGGTGACCTAGAGAAACAATGCCTGACATTCTAAAACGATGGCATGAGGGCATACTAGCAGTGGGATTAATTCAGGATGCAAATGACCTAAATGTGTAGAGAGACATTGGTACTAACGGGGCATGGAAAGGCAAATGTGGATGATAAGGATTACGTATTTTTTCAGTCAATGAGACAAGAAAGATATTTTTGAGAGGTCTATAGAATCTATCTTAACGTGTGTAAGCAACCACTTGATTGTCCTGGGTCTATTGTTGGGATATTACCTGAAGGTTTAGAGCAATGGTCTCTACACTTGTTCAGGTGCTTCCTGTTTTTCTGGCCGCGTCGATCACAGATACAGCGTGTGTTGGAGAGTTTCTCTGATGTTATCGTTCCATATCGTTCTTGGTCTACCCTGTGCTCTACGTCCTGCTCGCCAGTTAATGTAATCCTTGTATGGTATAGTGTCGCGATGCATTCTCTCTTAAGTGTGCAAACCACTTTATCTGCTGTCTGTGTATGTGATTTTAAAAAAAAATATGTTCTGTTCCAACTTGTTTTTCCCCTATACCCCGTTTCTGGTTGTATCTCCTCTAGTCACTGCTACGGCCCTTCGCCAAAGAAGTTATAATAAGGGCACAGGCATCGGCTACACCAGCCATGTGTGCCTATGTGGGTAAGGACTAACAACGAGAGATATAACTGCAGAGGGAATTCAAGCACTCATGTAGCGAGTGGATCTATGTATATTGAGGAAAACATGTAGACTATGTAATTGTCAGCTTATGTGTCAAATGTAAACACTTCTGGCATATCTAAAGATATCTATGTATTCGAAGGCAAATCTCTGAAGAACTATTTTAGTTATATCATTGCATGAAAGCAGCCTCTTGTTGTAGCTGCTAGACGCTCCAACTCCAACCCAAAGGTGCGCTATCGAATCTGCCTAACAATATCTTTAGCTCCCAGACCACACAGCAGCCTAAAATGTGAACCAAAGTCCTAGGAAGTCAAGGAGCCTTTGTGATGTTGACAAAATCACCCCTCGAGGGTCTATACAAATATGTGCTAACCATCAAGAAGGTAGACGCTCTTATGCTCGTAAGAAAAAAAAAGGGGGGGGGAGGGGTTAAGAACACAATAAAGGCATCCCACAAAGCCTTCAGTATAAAGTCTAACCCATGGAAGGCTGCTGCACAAGACCAGACAATATTGCTAAAGTCTATCCGAAGAGGGGCAGCGACTTGCGAGGGATGAAGGGCCTACTAAAATAATAATTTTTTTAATAGTTGATTGTCGGCGTCTGTGGCTTAGGCGTTGCGAACGCGCTTCGTAATGTCGGTGTGCCAGGTTCGATCCCTGCTGCGGACGGTTTTGTCTTGCGATGGTTTCGACCGTGGTACCGAGAGCTGACCGTCTAGAGAGCAATTGTAAACTACTGGACGTAAATATGCCTAGAAGAACCACGACAGTCAGAAAGTGCTGGGGTTGGTTCTGCAGCGCCATGTGAAGGATACGCAACTAATTAATTAATTTATTAGTTATTTACAACACTCTGAGTTTACACTGCGCAATTTACACACTTTAACAGTATATTAAATTTAAAAAAATAAGTAAAGGACCCTTTTCCCATTTTTAGGCGTATAGAGCACATAGGGCGAGACCTATATTTTTATAGACCAATCGGCACAAGATGGGTGATGTTGTCGGCATCACGCCGGCCGCTTTTACTTCCCGGGACTGCACCAGGTACCCACTCTAGTCTGGGTCGACCTGGGATTTAACAGTATACACCTAGTAAATTTTACTTTCCTTTGATATTTCACTTCCAAAGAAATAAAACAGGCCTCCTAATTATGCACTCTAATGTCTTTAAAATAAGCTTCAGAAAAGGACAATACCCAGTGCAAATTTAAACAAGAAATTTTGACCTATCCCTCATGGGCACTAAATATCCTGGGTTTCCATGGGCGCCAAATACCATGGATCTCCATGGGCACCAAATATCCTGTGCTTCCATGGGCGCCAAATACCCTGGGTTTTCATGGGCTCCAAATACCCTTGGTTTCTATGGGCGCCAAATACCCTAGCTTTCCATGGGCGCCAAATACCCTAGCTTTCCATAGGTACCAAATACCATAGGTTTCATTGGCGCCAAATAACCTAGCTTTCCATGGGCGCTAAATACCCTTGGTTTCTTTAGGCGCCAAATACCATAGCTTTCCATAGGCGCCAAATACCCAGAGTTTCCATGGACGCCAAATACCCTAGCTTTCCATAGGCGCCAAGTACCCTAGGTTTCCATGGGCGCCAAATACCCTAGGTTTCCATGCGCGTTAAGTACCATGGCTATGCCACTGACAGCAGGATGATGCTAATATTTTAACATCATGGGCAAAGCGCAAAACTACAAACACGACCGCCACCTGTCTGAATCCCACTGGCGTTCAGATTGCCACGTACTGAGCCTTCATAATACCCTGATTACCATACACACACAACATACAGCAGAGTATTTCGACAACAGTTGACCAATTAGAAGACTCCGCGGTGTTTCCAGTACTGACTAATCAGACGACTCGGCGTGGGTGGGCAGATAACTTAGTTGGTGACGGGTTTGCTTATTCATTGAGAACATTTCTGTGACGACCGTTTGCTACCGCAGTATCAGCGGTTGCAGTACCAGATATACTTACTTGACAGGCAACTTTAGAAAGTGAGTACTGCATACTTCATCAAATACATTACAATGCAACCAACTGATATAAATGGAAAAAAGCCAAGAATCATGGCCCATATATGCCACGAAGAAGCAAGGATAAAAAACAAGCCAAGAAATCGGCTGCAAGTGCGCGAGAGAATGCAGCTAAAAATACTGAACTGACTACTATGAAGAGGGAAGAAAGCGCCAAGGGTAGCCTGAAGACAATTCAACAGTTGAATACTCCTACGAAGACTACTCCACGAGATGTGTTGGCAGTAGAGCCCACGACCTCCAACAATCCTAAAACAAGGAAGTCAGATAGCCATACCGAGGTTTTAGGCTACAAGAAATCTACAGCTTATGGAAAGACACCTATAAATGAAGAGATGTCATACTAAGTGAGCAAGACAATGATAAATGGTTCAATCAAACAAACTAGAATAAAGATTCGTCAAATAAGTGAACGAGGAATTACATTTCTTCTTTTTCTTCTTCTTCTTTTTCTTCTTCTTCTTCTTCTTCTTCTTCTTCTTCTTCTTCTTCTTCTTCTTCTTCTTCTTCTTCTTCTTCTTCTTCTTCTTCTTCTTCTTCTTCTTCTTCTTCTTCTTCTTCTTCTTTTTCTTCTTCTTCTTCTTCTTCTTCTTCTTTTTCTTCTTCTTCTTCTTCTCTTCCTCCTCCTCCTCCTCCCTCTTCTTCTTTGTCTTTTTCTTCTTCTTTGTCTTTTTCTTCTTCCTCAACATTTCGAACCCCTAATGTTCATTGCTGCAGATATCGCCCGCTTCAGTCCATCTCTCTGGCTGGCCTTCTCTTTCTAGTTTTTGACATCAAGTGTTTATAGGTCTCTCTGGAAATTATCTCTCCATCGTCTTCTTGGTCTGCCTCGTGGTCTACAAACATTCAGCTCCCTCGTGTATGCACTTTTTATCTCTGTCATCTGACATTCTCTCAGTTTGCTATAGCCATTTCAATCTATTAGCATTTATGATGCTAGCGATCAACGATGATCTGAACATATGAATTCCATTGTTGCTTCTCACTCTCCATTCCCTGCTACTGACATCTTTGATGGGTCCAAAGACTTGTCATAAGACTTGTAGAAATTTTGTTGGAGGGCTCCATCTATTTTAGTTCTGTTCCACGCTTCAGAGCCATGAAAAACAACTGGTCTCATCAGTGTTTTATACATTTTGATCTTGGTGCTGCGAGATGGAGATTTTGACTTTAGCAAATGTTGGAGAGCATTGTATACTTATACATTTATGGGTTTGTATAAATATTATATTTAAATACAAAAATACAAAAGCAGATAGTTGAAATAAATGAAAATATAACCTCAGGTTACCTTGCTAAGCTAGGTTCACTGCCTGTTAGGATGGTGCTAAGATGGGAGGAAAAGGAGATGTTAGTGTTTGGAAGGAGAGTCTCCTTGGAATAACACTTTAAAAATCTCAAATTAAAATATTTTTTTTCCTTAAACTATTGGACCTGGTTGAAGCTCATAAGTTTTAGCATACGATTCGTATTCCAAATAAAGGCAGTAAAAAATGCAATTTTTTTCTATCTAAACAGGACGTATAACAAGCTGGACGTATAACAAAGCGGGCGTATACCGAAGTACCTCTGTACTCTTGTTTCATGTTAGTGTTAGATTATAGGAGTAGGCAAATATTATATAGAACATTAGGATTCGTAAAGGACGTAATGAGTTATATTGTCTGTGAATTTAATATATGCTGCACTAATAGTTTGCGAGAGAGTGGAAGAAAAAAACAACTTACGGCATTACTTTCTTACTGCCCATCCCACGTAGATGGCCTTTCTACAACAAGCACCACACCGTGATTATTTTTATGTTCAATCATATTGTGATGGTCTGTATATTTATTTATGCATTCATTTTTATACATGCAGAA